AACTGTGATTCTTATAGCGATTATTAATCGGGACACTTCAGATATTTGACCAGGAACATTTATAAATTTTGAACATTACAAACCATTTAACTTCAGTGGATTCACATCGGACATCAGTTCTTTTACGAAAACATTACCTTACGTCATGGGTGGAAAAAAAATCTGCGTGTGATCAGTGAAGACCACAGAGCTAGCTAGTAAATTGTACCTGCGTCAACTCGAAATTAACTGGCTCATCGTGAACCCTCAATAAGACATCAAGGAAGTTCCAGACTAGAAAGAAGACTTTACATTGCTTGTAAGTTTGTAAAACGTTTGTATATAAATCATTGTTTGTAATAAATATTTGTAATAACCGTTGTTGTAAATTGTATTATCGTTTACATATTAAAATATATTTGTATTAAAAAAACATGTATAACAAACTTTTTGGCAAATATCATAAATTGGATATATATCGGCATTTATTGAACTAATAAATATAAATTACAATTTAACTTAGTTTTAGACTATTTAAAATTTTAATACGTAACACTGCAGAAAAACGGATCGTCTCTGTCTTCAGTATTTTTTGAATAGTAAATTAACTGAAAATATTATTTTAGCGAAGATGAACGTACTCTTTGAGTTATATATATAAACTATACAACGTACACTGTCATTTGAGTTTTCTTCAAAGATTATGAAAACTAAATCCTAATTTGAAATTTGATTAAAGTTGCTCATTCTCGATTGTGCTATGACGACTAAAAACAAACTACACTATGCGATTTGAACTATTTCATCTATTACTACAAAATAACCGAACTACTTTTAAATTTTTACTGTATAAATGTAAATAGCAGTAAAAGTAGAATTCTGGAAGTATTAAGAAAACTTCAAATATTTGAAGATCTTTTAAGTACGACAATAAAGAAAGAAAAAACATCTAACATTAGTTTTTCAATCAAGAATGTATTTTCAGTGCTCTTATGTTTTAAGATACTGAATGTTTGTTTGTTTTTGAATTTCGCGCAAAGCTACACGAGGGCTATCTGCGTTAGCCGTCCCTAATTTAGCAGTGTAAGACTAGATAGAAGGCAGCTAGTCATCACCACCCACCGCCAACTCTTGGGCTACTCTTTTACCAACGAATAGTGGGATTGACCGTCACATTATAACGCCCCCACGCCTGAAAGGGCGAGCATGTTTGGTGTGACGGAGATTCGAACCCACGACCCTCAGATTGCGAGTCGAGTGCCATATTCACCTGGCCATGCCGGGCCCTTTAAGATACTGAGTTATATTATATGCCTATTTCTCATCATGATAAAACAATAGCCTTAGCTTCGGATATATTCGCTAGCAGTCCAAAATTTTAAACTAATAAATTAGAAACAAGGCAGCTAATCAACAATACCCATCACCAACTATTTGGCAACTCTAATCGAATAAGGAGAGATTTCATTGTTACTCTTATAACGAACGAACGGCCCCAAAGTGCGGAGGACTTTGCAGCAATGAGATATGAAACATGGACTTTCGGATTCACAGTCCGGTACATTAATTACTAGACCACGCCTGGACCCAGTAAATTTGGATATAACGTATTAAAATTGACATTAAGAACGGCGTTGTATCTGTGCTTATCAATTTAATTTGTAGATTCAGAAATATTAGTCAATTAATATAAGCTGTTGAAAGCAAACCTAAGACAAAGTTATTAATAATTGTCCTCTTATGAGTCAGCAGTAATTTTAAGGACTTACAATGCTAAAATCTGGGTTTCGATTCCCCACGGTGGACAAATCTCAGATAACACATTGCGTAACTTTGCGCTGAAAATAAACAACAGCATATCAAGACACACGGTAATGTGTTGTTCGGCTAAAAAAACAACCTGCAGAACACACTGTGTGTTATTAACAGGAGTGATAGTTTAGCAATTTCCACCTTCTGTAGCTCGAACTGTGGTAATCCAAACTATTGCATATTTTCAGTGGATGTGCTCTACTGGATTCTTACTTCAAATTCCAAATTTCAAAGCAAGCCATTTAGAAATATCTGAGATATAACATCTCCAATTTCGATTGAGTTTCTTCCTTTTTATTTTTTTCGCACCAAAAGTACGAAAACTTTACTTCATAGAAAAACATACTTAACTTCTATGGATTTTTTTCTCAAATTTGGTTCATTGATAGATCTTTACAACCTACAATTAGGAGCCTCGTTTGATGTAAATATAAACCACATGTTCAAAGTTAGTCAACAAAAACCGCTCACATTTAACGAAAATTTTTGTGCAGGCGTGCGCGAAAAGACACGCGAGCTATCGGTCTAACATTTTTACTAGAGCTTCACCTAAGAGGTAAAGTAGGTTTTTTTTTTTTAGTTTTTTTGTCATTCGGATTAAAGGCGGTTTAATTAGAGCAGCAAAACTTTAGGGTGAAATGACGTGCAGATACATAAGTATTGGTTAGGCCAAGCACATTAGATTAACAGTTTCTAGCTC